ATCGAATAGGAAAGAGAATGCGGGCTTGAAACGGTGAGTAGCAGATATCCAATAAAATAAACAATACATATATACATATTTAACATTTACAAAATTTCATTTTCAAAGTATTAATATACATTTTTTAATTTTAAGGTTTCAAGAGAGAAGTTGGGGGACTTATATTCTTGTCAAGTAGCCGAATATGTGTGTTTCTTTTTAATTTATTATTTGATAAGACAGGCCTCTCTTTGATGTTTTTCTATATAAGGTTATAAAAATTTTTAGGCATTATATATCAAATACCTATTATATTTTAAAAAAATACGTGACAGGAATATAATTAAGTTACGTAAAATACTTGAAGCTTTATTTTTATATCTCTAAAAAATATATGTATATACTAAACTATGAATTTAATAAAGGTGAGATCATAGGTTTTTATAATTATACAACATTTAAAAGTAAAAAAAAATGAAAACGAAATAAATTATTTCCATATGTGAACTCTGTAAAATGTGATAGGCATTTAACACTTTTAATATAACCTGATTTAGATTGCTTCTAAGAATATGAATAGCGTCTATCCTCCATAGTTCAAGCCCGTATTCTGTCGTATTTCGGCCATATATCGCGGCGTGGAGTGACCTCAATAGAGAGGCTTGTAGTGCAGGGCAAAGCCGAGGGTACAAGACCGCGTGGAAGGTCACCCATGCGCTGGACAGACCAAGTCAGGGCTGCAGTGGACGCTCCTGTCAATGAGTGCTCCAGAAAAGCCACCATCAGAGACGAATGGCGACGCGTTGTGAAGCGTGCCACCACACATCATGACGACCACGACCGTTCTGCCAAGAACGTACCGACTTAGAAGAAGAAGAAGAAGAATATGATGTTCGAAAATTTTAATTTTTTAGGTCACGGACGATTGGTAAACGTTATAAAGTAATTTAAAAAAATTAATAAACATTATTTTTTTTTAATTTTTGTGGGAAGAGATAATGACAATCAGAAAAAAGTGGATTAAAGCAACCTCCGTGTTGCAAGAATAATGTTACTATTTCAAATCCATCGAACGCAATACTAGAATGTAGTTTGTTACAGAAGTAAAATCATCTTTGAGACAAAACAAAAGAATTTTGTTTAACAATAAGTGGACATTTTTAGTAAAAGAATTTTGTTACTTTAAGTTAAATATAAAGTGAAAGGTAAACAAATACGTTCTTTATATGTAGGCACTCCCTTTCATATTGAGAAGTATTAGACTTTTACTTCTTAAAGAAATAACTTAAGAATTAATTTGTAGAAATATTGTACGCATTGTTCTATTTTGGTTGTAACTAATATTGTACGTTTATATTACATTGAACGCCTGTCGTGAAAGTCTAATTTCTAAGTATTTTAATATTATTTTACTTCAATACCAAAATAATGTTATACTTGCTATGTTTATTTAGAAGATATTAGTAACATTACTTTTAAAATCAACGGGGCAAAGCAATCTGTATTCTAATATTCTCATAAACATAAAATGTCAGTAGATTTCTACGGTAAATACGTCTCATCAATTTGCTTTACCCTCAGTTATTAATATTAAAAAGAGCAAGTTCTAAAATTGTAAATACGAAATGAACAGCTAATCCGGAACTTGATATTATAAGAAGTATTTTGATGTTAGACTGAATGTGGCTACATTATATGGTAACATAATTTTAGTATGTGTTATAAAAGTATTGTACAACAAAACCATGCAATTATAGGAATAGCCCTAGATAGACGATAGCATAATTAAGAAAAATTACTCCAAATTGCTTAATTTATATGAGAAAGTAATTTTTACTTTCTTATAATTTAAATTATAATATTTTTTTCTTTTTTGAGAAATAAAAGTACGAGATATTTTGCTTCAACATGGCTACTAGCTAAGTCGAATTCAATTATCTTCCACCAATGACCCTGCAAACGAGCACATCGGTCAAGCGTGCTCCGAAATAGTGGCTATTTGTTTTGCTAGTTTGTATAATCTATCTATAGACGGTAAATATTGAGTTGTTATAAATGCTGCATTACATATTGGATACATGATTATGCAGATTGTATTTATGGGATAAATGATATATAATCACTTTTACTTTATAGTAATAGTCTTACTGTTACTGGAATGTAAAATGAGTTGAAGTAAATTCCATTTTTTAAAACTGATCGCCTTCACCATTCAATGCTAATTATTCTTTGTAATATTTCTCTAAATCATACCAGAGTAAACCTTTTAAATGGAATTCTGGTTTATAACCTTGTATATTACAGTAGTCTAGAACGTTAAATAAGTTTTCAATAAATAAGGCTCTGTTATTTGTTCATTTAATATGTTGCAGTGTAATAAGTAGTATGTATATATATGTAAGTCAGATGTAATATATAAATATTAAGATCGTTGCGTTAATAATTCAGTAATAAAACATCTTCTACCAAACACACACGTTTCAAGTCCCCTCAACGTTTATCAAAGCGTACCAAAATTAGTACGAATTTTATAAAGGAAATAAAATGATACATCGTGGTGGTCCTCGGTTCCCGTGAACTAAAAGACGCATGCTGATCTTGTCGCGACAATAAAGTTTAAACCAATTTCACATAACAAAAAACTATTCCTATTTCTATTTTTATATTTAACAATTAATAATAATTTATTTTAGAAGATTTCTCGGTTTTCATGTTAGTACAAAAAGTAGCTCTCGGTATTCTGAACTGCTTGCTCTCCAATTATAAATTACTTTCGAGTTGGTATAGGTTGGAAAACGTTGTAGTTTATTACTTTCAAATTGGCTGATAAAATAAAATTCTCGTTTATTATTAATGTTATTTTACAATTTTTACTAAGAACCGAAACTTACCATGAAAAAACGAATCTCAGTACTAGTAAAACTACATTTATCTTACATTCGATTAATTATAGTTGTCGATCAATCTACGTAGTTAATTTAAAAAAGTTGAATATACTTTGTAACTTTAATAAGTAGAAAAAAAAATGTTTGAAAACTTTTTATTTAAACTTATATTAGATTTATGAATTTCTGTCTAGTAGAACAGAAATACAGATCAAGTTATATATTTAGATTGTTACGTAATAAGTTTCGTACCAATTTACTTTTAGATATTATTTAACTAATTATGTTATATCCTAACTTCCAAAATTTTTCCTAGATCTCCCTCTTTTCTTTTTATTCTTTAGTAATTACAAAATCGCAAACTGTCTTACAATTTCCCTGTTTAACATAATTAAATTACTAGTATTTGAAAATTATCCATTCTCATTTAGGAATGATCTATTAAACCACAACATACGCTTACGACTTAAGACACAATGAATACGCTGTTTAATTTACTTTAAATTTTGGTGACACCATGGAAAGTAAAGGTATTGCAGTTTCTGTATTTTTTAATTCCATATTTTTTTCTCAAACTTTTTATATTTTGGAGTATTCTAGTTTATTTCCCTTTGTTCTGTGCTTTTGTGTTAATTATCTAATTGCTGTAGAATTATATCTTCTATTTCATTCGATTTTTTCTACTTTTCGATTACTTTATATTTATACGACATGAGTGGCGAACAAGCTTACGGTTTACCTTATTCTATGGATATTTACAATAGCAGGGGCATCACAGATAACATGCCGATCTTTCAAATAACTGTTCAACCTACCTACCTATTACCTTCCTTTCTTGAAGAACACACCAATGCCCTTCCACATATGTATAATTTGATTTTTTCAATTTATCATCTTATTTATAATACTATTTAATTAAATTATCAGACATTAAATTATCATGCCCTTATGAACTGATGAAAATGCTAGGCTATTATTATATAATACAAAAGATAATTAGCAACAAGTTAAACGTGATATTGAGTTATGAATTTTATTACTTTTAACCTTGGAATGACATGTAAACCATGGAAACCTTGGATTGTTAATGGCTCTTTTTTTAGCTGGATTAAACACAAAGAAGAAATAAGGAGTAAATTGTTTGATATTTTAATCCTGAATCCGTGAACTACTTAATAAAATTTATTGCCTGGTGAATGCCTTTGTTCGATCCAATTATAATTTCAACAACAACATTGTTGGCTTCCGTTTGCAAATCTGAAAAAGTGGACATAATATATGTTAAGCTGCCAAATCGATTATTTATAAATTAATATAATCTACATTAATATTAAATATGTTAAAACTTAAAGCTTAACACAAAGTTTCTTAAACTTCGTAGTAGGCTAGAAGAAACTGCTTAAGAATGTCAAGCACATTCCTTATTTTTTGTAACCAATAAAGTATTTAAGGAAAATGTTAAAAGTTAAAAGAAGGTTTCAGATAGATTTAGAAGGAAATTGAATATCATTTTTCCTGTAACAGTATAAAAAAATGGAAGTATTAAAAGGATTGCTAAAGGTTGGAAAGAAAATAATTTATTTACTTATATATTTTTCAATATAAACAACTAAATTAATATGTATTTTTTTTTAATTTGTTACAATTAACTACAATAATTATATTACGCTTGTTCTTAATAAGCTTAAGACAGGTGAGAATAACACTTCACATATTCACAAATTTAAATATATTTGGCTATAATATTAAAGAACACCATTACTATTGCAAATTTTATTTTCTTAAGTACGACGTAGATCTAGTTCCTCTATTTATCTACGTAGTAAGTTTGATAAAATACAATGAATTTCACTGTAAAAGGTAATGACCAAATTTAAATTTTTTGCATGACAACCATCTACAAAAATTTGCAACAAAATATCGTAATATTATTATGGATTCATTTGAAAGCTGACATTTTGATTTCAAATAAGTATAAACAAAGAATTAAATTATAATCATTTTTTAAAATCATGTATCCCTCTTTACAATGTTAATAGTTCTAGAAATTTATATGTAACTAACTAGAATTTAGTTGTAATATTGTGATGAGTCAGTAAAGAAACAGTTGAACATAAAAATATATTTTAAATATGATCAACGATAGAGGAAATTATCCCTTAAGTTGCTAACTATTTCAGGTTCCCAGCGGTCTCCATTACTTAGCAATTTTTCTTTATTGTACATAAGCTCTTCATGTGTTTCTGTCGAATATTCAAAATTAGGGCCTTCGACAATAGCATCTACTGGGCAAGCTTCCTGACAGTACCCACAAAAAATACACTTGGTTAGGTCAATATCATAACGTATTGCTCTACGAGAACCATCCTGCCTTTCTTCGGCGTCTATTGTTATCGCTTGTGCGGGACAATAGGCTTCACATAGTTTACAAGCAATACACCTTTCTTCTCCGGAAGGATACCTTCGCAATGCATGTTCACCTCGGAATCGAGGAGACAGTGGACCTTTCTCAAATGGATAGTTTATAGTTGCAGGTTCTTTAAATACGTGGCCAATGGTTACAGCAAACCCTTAATAAGAAAATGTTACTAAGGATCTTTTACAAATTAATATTGAATAACGTTTAAATCAAAATAAAAAAAAATTGGACTTACCTCTAACTATTTCAGTCCAAAACACAGTTTGAGCTATTCTATCTACAAAATCTCCCATAGCTGTACTTGGCGGCTTATCATTTATGTATATAAACTTGACGTCATACTTTGTTCTAGGCTTGCAATAATACATTGGAAGCGGAGAACAACATGGATAAGCCCTTTGTGGCGGAGGGTTAGAAGGACATTCATCTGAATACTTCTGAATTCGAGTATAAGCTTGTTTAAAATATTTGTTCAAAGCTAGAATGAATCTGCCCATTATGGGTCATGTATTAGTTAGATTTAATTTAAATAATTGACCTTCCGAAATGTCTGGTATTGACACATCAAATTTTATTTTTCATAACCGAAAAAGGAGGTTTATTACAATCTTACATTTACTAGTTTTGTAAGATAAAATCAAAGTTTACTAAATATTCAATTTCATTTTAGGTGTCAAGGTATTCTAGTATAAGACATTTAGAACTAAATGAAATACATATATTCGGATCGTGTTTCTATATTCGTGTTGACCGTATTTCTATTTCAGCTAGGTAAAGGTCATAACTTCTCTAAAATATCAATGTCTGAGGTATATAAGGTAGGATTGTGTCTTTTTAAAAAGATAAGTTTCAATAAGTTATGATATTTCAATATCTATTCTAATTTATGTTATTTTTAATTCTATAGGATACTTCAATTCAATAAACTTTTGACACCATTTCTTTCGGCTTAAAATAGTATAAAAAGCAAATATTTTAAATGTAATTTATTTATTTATTTATTTCGGTAATCCAACAGTGCTTATAATAATGACATGATAAAGTATAAATAAACAATATTAAAACCAATACAGGATTACACAGTTAAAGTAAAATTATAAACATAAATGTAACTTAAGTACAATTGATATTGGATAACTAATCTAATTAGCAAGACTGTTCATTGTGTGAGCGAATGTGTGTGTGTGTGTGTGTGTGTGTGTGTGTGTGTGTGTGTGTGTGTGTGTGTGTGTGTGTGTGTGTGTGTGTGTGTGTGTGTGTGTGTGTGTGTGTGTGTGTGTGGGTGTGAGCATGTCGTGTGTGGGTAAGTGTGTATGCATTTGTGTGTTTTAATAGTAAATTAAGATGTCACTTGTTTTTTTAAAGCCTTTTTAAATTCAGATTTTTTCATATTGAATATGTCTAAGTTAGAAAACGAGTCGTTATAGGTAGTGGCTAAACGATTTACTAAGCAGTTGCTTCCATATTTTGTGCTCGTCACCGGTGTATCAAATAATTTTGTCAGACGAGTACGTCGATTTGGTACTCGGAATTGTACCAAAGATAATAGTTCGTTGCAGTCTATTTCGTTTGACAGAAGTGAATAAAGCATCATCACATCATAGTGCTTGCGACGCGTCTCTAACGAATGCATGTGATAATGACGGCAAGCCTCAGTATAGCTATCAAATAACTTATGGTCTTTGTAGCTTAGAAATTCCGTAAATTTTATTTGAATGCTTTCAAGTCTGTCTTTATAAATTGTATACTGCGGTGACCAAATTGTGCATGCGTACTCTAACAAGCTGCGAACATATGCAAAGTATAACATTTTAATACATTCGACACTAGAGAAAGACTGACATACACGTTTTATATATCCCAATTGTCTATAAGCTTTATCTGTTACCATTTGTATGTGCTCATTCATTGACAATTTAGAGTCTAACTGAACTCCAAGATCGCGTATAGAATTGATTTTGGGAATTTCAATATTATTAATGTTGTATGCATAATTATAATTATTTTTTTTACGAGTAAAGGTTATGTGAGCGCACTTTAATATATTAATTTTAATTCTATTATTATCGCAATATTTTGCAATAGCATCTAGGTCGCGTTGAACTAAGTGGCAATCCGAAAGAGATTTTATACTTAAAAAAATTTTGGTTTCATCAGCAAACATAAGAAACCGGGATTGCTTTATAGATGTATAAATATCAAACACATATACGTTGTACAGCAGTGGACCCAGTATTGAGCCCTGAGGGACGCCAGAGCTTGTAGACACGAACTCACTGCATGCGTCACCCAGAACCACCGCTTGCCTTCGTTTTGCTACATAGGAACAAAACCATCTATGCAAGTCGCCACGAATGCCAAGAGCCTGTAGCTTCTGAAGTAAAATAATGTGGTCTACGCGGTCGAAAACTTTTTCGAAGTCAATATAAATTGCGTCGACTTGATACTTTTCATCCATTGACGATAAAACATAATTTGTAAATAGCGACAGGTTTGTTGACGTTGAACGTTTGTTCATAAAGCCATGTTGTTCAAGAGGAATAGATTTATGAATAGTAGGTGCAATTAGATTGATCACTGCTTTTTCGAAGATTTTGCTTATTGTATTTAGGATAGATATGGGTTTGTAATTTTGGATATGGTTTTTTAGTCCCTTTTTATGAAGTGGTTTAATTAATGCCTCTTTCCACTTGGAGGGAAACGAAGCAAACTCGTTAAGAGATTTATGAAATATAATTGACAAGGGTACAACTAAATTTTCGGCGCAGCGAATGTAGAATATAGGAGGAATTTTGTCACTACCACAACCTTTTGAGGGATCCATTTTGCTTATTATTGATAAAATAGAATCTTTTGTGATTGTTATGTTAGCAATATGCTCTCCAGATTCAGGTACAGATGAGTTCAGACTATCGTATTTTGCTGCGGGCTTACAAAAGGTGCTTTCGAAAAATTTACTAAATCCAAAACAAATGTCATGAATATTGCTAAATTGTGTCCCTGATAGAATCATAGTTTTAGGATATTCTTCTCTTTTATTGCGTAGACACCTTTGGTACCACCAAAAATATTTAGGGTTTTTCTTGATTAAAATTTGTATGTTTTCCTTATAGGAACTGAAGCATGTAGATTGTAAGATTTTCTGTCGATGGCGTAAAAGAGAAAACTCATCATAATCTCTAGGATTTTTATACTTTTTCCAATTTTATGAGCCCGTATTTTATTTTTAATTATATTAATTAAAGGTCTACTGTACCAAATAGGATATCTTAAAGTATTAGGAAGTGTATTCTGGGGTATATAAGATTTTATTATGGTATTTATTTCTTCATAAAAATTATGGACAACATTGTCTATCGAATCACCGATTAAAATTTTAGGCCAGTCTATATGTGCCAATGCTTCATTAACTACATTGTAATCTGCCTTGTAATAATTATATTTCTTCACAGGTTTAACGTTGAGTTTCTTAAATATTATATTAGCAGCATCTATTTCCAAGCTAGGGTGATATTTATCTTCTCTTACAAGTGATGTATTAGAGCGCTTAACAATTATAGGTATGGTACTTAATATCAAATCTAATGTTTTCCCAGTGTCATTTAATATATCATTGTATTGTGTTAAATTATTCAGACTGCAGAAGTTAAGGAATTTTGATGTAGTATTCTGCAGAATAACAGTTCCCTGGGTATTTTGTATAGGCGTCGAATTTTTCCAAAGAACGTTGGTTAGGTTGAAATCACCTGATATAATAAAGTTATCGAAAGGTTTTAATTTAAGAATTTTACTTAGAGACTTTTCTACTGCTTCAATACGTTTGGCCTGCAGCGCGTCCGGAGGAATGTAAAATACCCCAATATGAAGATCGCCATTGCTATGGCATACTCGAGACGGTATTGTAACCCAAATAACTTCAACCCCTGCACAAGTCCAGTCCGTCCTTTTCTGCGCCTCTAGGTAAAGTTTAGAACATAACATAAACATAACATAAACATAAATAATGAATTACTTCGGACTAACTGTGGATAGTTGGGAAAATAGAAGATTTATTTACTGCATATATGTAAAAAAGATCGTGTACTTTTGGATTGAATGTTCACATTCTGTATAAAATAAAATGTGAAATGGTAGAAGTGATGAGAGAAAGAATACTTGATCGGAGGTCCGTTTACTTTTTGTATAAAATTCATTTTTGTGTTATCACCTATTTATCAAACAGGGAGGGAATACAAGAACCTAGGCCGTCGGAATATAGAATTTTTGAATATGCTTGAGGACCTGTATAGACTTTTACTCATACATTCTAATGCGAGATGTTTTATTTTAGGTACGTAACGACTCACGGTTGTTAACTTAAAAGGATTTTCTATATTATGGTCAGGTTTCTTTAAATTTCAGTTTTTATACTCTTATTTTAGTATTGATTTATCAATACTTCTTGTTGAAAGCAGCACCAACCAGTGTTCGTAAGCGATGTACAATGTTATTATGTATACATGTACATAGCTAGGATTTCATTATACATTTTTATAAAGTAACTGCTATACTTTAAAAAAGAATTTTATTTTATTGTGATCATGCCTGTCAGTACTTTATGACGACCAAAATTAAAATTTCTGGTCCATAAACTACAAATGTATTTGCTAAAGAAAGGAAATTGAATTTTAAATATGCATATGGTATCTTTTTGGTTGAGAAATGTTGCATTATTTAAATGTCAATATATAACAATATAATTTCTGTTTACTGTGGATACTATATACTTCTCATACTCTTTAACTCTTTCATGACAACATTCAAGCGCAGTATCAACTCATTAGTTACAGTAGTTAAGTAATAATTTAGTACATTTATATTCTGCACTTAAAGGGTATTTTTTTAAGAGGTGATTTTCAATTTTTTCCATAATATTTGATAATGATTGCTTCATAATAAAAACAAAGTTTCCTTTAAAAAAAGTAGCAAATTTTATATTTGCTACAAAGTAATTATCAACGGTTTTATTGAGAAACATTTTGGTAGCTAAATAAAGATATTGTAACTGTAACTGAGGGAATTTAGTTTAAGACATTAATTATCCTAATTAAAAATTACAACACTTGAAAAGACAACGACCTTTATTTGTAGTCTTATTAATTAATAGTATTGCTTGACGCCACATCACTTAAAGCGAATATAGAAGCTTGGCACTTTGCCCCAAGCTTTGAGCCACTGTGGACTCTTTTGCAGGACTATTACATTTCGGTAATAGCCGAATAACTCATAATAATGGATATTTCGACGCATTAGGTTTGTTTGCGAAAGAATTGGTTTTCTAAAAATGGTTAAAAACAATTACCTCAGTTTTACTATTAGGTTAAAATTATTTTATCTTTATTTTTTCCCATAGTATTTTAAATCCTAAATAAATATTTATGACTCTTCCAGTCGTTGTCAATTGTCATATAGCAATTTGTCAAAATAATATTTCATTTCTTTATATAATTTAAATAAA